CAGATTGCACATGAATGATTTTATGACTGACCAGATGCTCAACATGCGCTTGGAATTGCAAGAAAATATTAAACTCATCAGACTTGCGTTTAAGAAGATAAAGCCAAGTGAACCGACTGTAAGCATCAATGAAACTGACATAGTAATTGTGACCACTAACAGAGTTTTGAGCATGGCCCCATACACTCGAAAACACAAGTTCAAGCGGTTTACTAACTACAAGACTCGACTCAAAAAAAGGAAGCTGATGACTCTTGCCTTGCTGACAAGCATCACAAACTGCATCAACATGTTTATTGGACACTACTGGAAGCTAATGACGATGAAGTACATGGTGAATGATGGGAGTGGCACGATGACCAAGACGTGCATGCCAATGTGGTGGAGACACACAAACACTGCTAAAAGCACTAGGAGCTGGTGGCACATCAAGTGCATAGAGACCATTATTGCGCAGTCGACATCTAAGGAGTATGTACCTCGTGTCCCGGTCCTTAACAAGAAAATGAAAAGGATGAAATTCAGCAAGAATATTATTTTCAAGAGTAAGTTTAGGAACTGAAAGCAAACTGCGTGTGAAATAGAAGGAGCATGAAGGACATTAAGAAGACGTAATTGTGTGGATGGACGTGTAAGATGTGATGCCTGACCAATATGTGAGATGTGCATACCTTCCCCATTAGCAGTGCGAACCTGATCGTGTCCATGGTACGACTCCTATGTAGAGAGCTTGCCCATCTTACTCGTCAGGTGATTGGTAGCTCCCGTATCCATGTACCAAGCTGCATCAATTGGATAGGAAGGAGTATGCCCTTGCTCATGACTCGCCAGGGCAGCCTGCTTCTCATTACCCTTGCCATTGTTCCCTATCCCCAAGACATCCTGCTTGAAGCGATGATGACAATGGGAGGCAAGGTGACCATCAAGTCCACACAGCTGGCAGGGGATCTGAGCACCACATGAACGGCAACAGGCACGGACTCGACCTCCTATGGAGGTAGAGGTGTTCCGCGAACTAGGCGCGGTCAGTGGAGGTTTTTCACCAGTTTATGGCTTGTAGGGCTTGCCCTTCCCACACGTTGCAACGTTGGCGGAAGGGAAACTCAACGTAGAGCAGCGAGCCTGAATGCATTGTTCCGTAGTGAAGAGATGTGCGTACAACTCACGGGGCTGGATGGGAGTGTCATGACCATTTATATTCTCCACCAAATTATCATAGTCATCACTCAGTCTGTTGAGCACATAAGAGCTGAACTCCTCCGAAACAAGCGCCTTGCCAATGGAGGCAAGTGTGTCAGCCATACCCATCACCTTGTTGAAGTAGTTGGTGACGGCTAGATCATGAAGCTTCACCTCCCCAAGCGCAGTGCGTATGGCTTAAGCCCGCGCCTAAAACTGCGAAGCAAAACTGGTATGAAGAGCCGTCCACACGTCCCGAGACATAGCGGCAAAGATGACCAGCGACTCTCTCCATGAGAGAGGACTGGATAGCAGAGAG